TTAGTATGTATGTGTGCGGCACCCGTGTGTTGTCGTTAGGTTAGGAGTTGTTAGAGCTATGAGATTGAATGCACCGAACAGATAATGAGGCGTCACATCCGATCTGATTATCTATTTTTCTGTGTGATAACTGGGCTGTTATTATAAGTACTCTACTGTACGGTACAGTTAGTGTTAAATGTTTTTTGTGTCTTAATATTATTGTCTCATTCATGTAGTGTTTTACTGATAAAATATTATATGTATGTGTGTGTGTGTGATGTTAGTTAGTGATGGACTGTATGTATGTGAGTGTTTGAACAGCACACACACACACACACACACACACACACACACACACACACACACACACACACACACACACACACACACACACACACACACACACACACACACACACACACACACACACACACACACACACACACACACACACACACACACACACACTGGCACATACATATCAAGCTAACAGCTCTAATAACCCACATATAAACTAATTGTGTTATAACAAAGAATATTCTGTATTCGTATTTAAACAATAGAATTCTCCATCAAATGAATTGTTGTCTTTAAATACCTGTTTCCTATTGACAGACACGAAGTGTTTTACTTAACTTAAAAAAACAAAATACAATAGACATACACTAACACACACACACACACACACACACACACACACACACACACAAACACAAACACATGCATTCATACATCACATCACATAGCACACAATCATAATAATATATACTGTATATATATATATATATATATATATATATCGATACATATATATATAATACTATATATAATATATCGTATTGGTTTCACTAGGCTCTTCATATATATATATATATATATATAAACATGTATATATAGTATATAAATTTATAGATATATTTATACACTGATACTGACATAAATTCATTGATAAACAAAAGAAAAAAAATAAAATAAAAAAATTTTAGATAATTAACTCTATGGACATAAATATAATTTAATGATTATTTATTATTATTAGTATTATTTCTTTTTTTGGTTGTGAATATGTTGCAACAGATATCCCATTATATACTGTATAGTATACACTGTATATATAGTTTAGGATTAAAATAATATTTATATTTGTTGTCTTCACTTTGTTTTTTGGGTGACATTTATTTTGTATTTATATTTATTTATTTTCTAACTATATTTGGTATATATTTTTATTAAATGCCTTAACAAACACAACAAGTATTGTCTGTCTTTTGTGCGATAAGACCTCAATTGTCATACAATTTGTGGTGTTTTTTTTGGGAACAAACTTTTGTTTGTTTTACATTTCCTATTCAATAAGTCAATCTCTTTTTTCACACTAACTCACTCACAATTACTTACTCACTCACCCACCGACTCTATCACATTGCTATTGGATTATTTTACTTTTAAATTAAGATTTAAATTATTGTCAACAATTTTATTTATACCTTGTTTTTATAAAGCATTTTCTTCAAGTATTTCTCTCAAAGTAATGTATAAAATCGTTTTCATTAAGTTATACTTAGCATTACTTTTATAATTATTAATATTTATTAATCATTTAGATTTTGATATTTATATTGACATAAAATATTAATACAAAAATTGCAAATAATATAATAAATACAATATATGTGTAACGCATGTGCTTTACCTCATACTTTGTAAGTATGGTTTTTATTAAGTATTTGAAGTCTACTTTCTCTCAAAGTTTTGTGTTTTTGTTAACTTTAAAAGTCAAGTATAAGTAGTGTTTTTATTAAGAAATTTTGAAAATACTTTGAGAGATTGCTTTATGAAAACAGGGTATTATATATATATTTATTATTTACTTACTGTTGTGTTGTTATCTGTAAATTAATCAATGGATGACTGAATGAATAACTGACTGATTGTAAACCAAAAACTTTGTTATTCAAATAATTCAAATATTATATATGAAAACAAATATTTAAATATTTTCTTGAAAACAACTTTATTTCATTATGCAAATCAAAATATAAAACATACCAATAATTTTTAATCAATTGATATGATATATACATATTAGTAATTTATTTGGTGTATTATATTTGTGTTATCACATATATGCCAACATTTGATGAGATATATTGTGTGTGTGTGTGTGTGTGTGTGTGTGTGTGTGTGTGTGTGTGTGTGTGTGTGTGTGTGTGTGTGTGTGTGTGTGTGTGTGTGTGTGTGTGTGTGTGTGTGTGTGTGTGTGTGTGTGTGTGTGTGTGTGTGTGTGTGTGTGTGTGTGTGTGTGTGTGTGTGTGTGTGTGTGTGTGTGTGTGTGTGTGTGTGTGTGTGTGTGTGTGTGTGTGTGTGTGTGTGTGTGTGTGTGTCTATCTGTTTATCAGTCTTTTTCTTTATTTATATCTACCTATCTGTCTATCTATCCGTCTATCCATCATAATTTTGTAATGTTATCAATGTTAGTTGTTTTCGGTACTCAAAATTTACACTACATTTCACATTAATATAAGTGAATGAATTATATGACAGAAAAATGTGTACCAAAAGATGATGAAAAAACTTATTGTTTGAATAAGAGAGAGAGAGAGAGAGAGAGAGAGAAAGAGAGAGAGTCTAATAGTTTTATAGTTTTTATTTTACTTGTAAAACAAAATTGAAGGACTAGTATTGCATTGAGGTTTGAGATAAAATGATTTATCAAAGCATTGAAAATTAAATATAAGAAATCATTGAAAATAAAGTTATAAAAAATAGGTTATATATATTATAAGTGATCTCTAGATATACAAAAGATTCTGAGCTTTAAAACTATTATAAAGTATTTCTATATATTATTATTGTATGAATTTTATTGTATGAACAATACATATGAGCATTAGTTGTCGGGATATTTCAAATAAATTTTAAGATTTTTATTCTTAGTAATAATAATAATATAAAAAATAAAAAGAGATATAACATCTAATTAATATATATATATATATATAGGTATATAAATTATATTATATATCCTTAACTTTTAACGTTTAAAACTAAAAAACTAAATTTTATAATCGTTTCATAACAGTTTTACTATTAGTTATTATTGGTTTCAATTACTATAATATTATATATATTTTTACAAATAAAATTCTTAATAATAATTATTGTATTTTAAACAATTGCAATTAATTATTTTTTATATAATTAAATAAAACTTTATTTTCGTCTCAAATTTAAATTTAATTTTAACATCTAGTTTAATATTTATTGATATTGATTATAATTTAATAAAAATATCTCTACATATGTATAACTAATTTAAATATTACTATTATTTAATTGAAAAGTTTTTGTTGTTATTATTGTTATTACAGCAAAAAAAACTATTCAAAATTATTATCACTATTTAGATTAGTGAGAAAAAATTATTAGTAGTTTTTAAATGTCATTTAGTTAATTACATGTTTTTAAATTTAAGATAAAAAAATTAAATGTTTTTAATCTAATAAAATTCCGTTAAATAAACATTTAACACATTGAGGTTCAATACAATTATCTTAAACAGTAATAGTAATGAATCTAATAAACCGATGGTTTTCAATGATATTGACATATACTGTAATTTAGTTATACTAAATACAATTATTATATATATTTAAATAAATTATAAATTATTCATAAACATTTAGTCAGTAATAATAATAATAATAATAATTATTATTATTATAAAAAGCATTTATAATATTATTATTATCACTCACTAAATGTTTATAAATAATATACCGGTATAAATTAGCATGTATAAATTAATTTAACTGATAGATGTTTTTTTTTAAAAAAAGCTAAATAAATAATAATAATTAGTAAATACTATATGCTAATTAATTGTCCTATAGTTAATTAAATTTGTTGAACACAATTATTGCTTAAATTATATGTAACAATATTGTTATTTTCATCATTATTGTGATGATATAATTTTTTGTTTGTTTGGTGGTTTTGTTTTTTAAGTATACAAATATTTGTGTTGATGTGGTGGCAATATTATTATTATTATCTTATAGATAATAATAATAATAATAATAATAAAAACTGTGTGGTAAGCCTGGAAGCAATAAAAATACTGTACTAGTAGTGCACAGTTAGGTTTAATTTTATTGATTCAAACAAATTTGCCCACATACTATAAACATGTATAAATACAATAGAGTTCAATATATTTAAGTACAGTATATAAAGTATAAATTGTAGCGTAAATGTTTGGTAACATAAGGTATTAACATGAAAATAGGTGTGTTTTTCTAATGTATAAAAATACAGTATATAGTGTTCAAAAAAGTACTGTAAAAAATACATTCTTGAAAATTAGTATTTTTTTAGTTGCTTATGTAGCTTAAACTCCATGTGCTATTAGAGAGCGAGAAAGAGAGAGATAGAGAGAACTATTATTCTGTTGACTGTTTGTTGGAAATATTTTTTTATTTATTTTTAAAAAACTGATTGTCATTTGTAGGCAAGTGTTTGTTATGTAATAGAATGGTATATGTTTTTCCATAATCCCTGTCCCTTTGGTGTCAATGGATGTACTGTTTTAATACATTTATAGTCAGTGAAACTTATTATATATTTCAACGACAACTCTGCCTTTTTAGCAGATGAGATAAGAGTAGACAAAACATAAGTGATGTGAGTGAGTGAGTGAGTGAGTGAGTGAGTGAGTGAGAGAGAGAAAGAGAGAGAGAGGATGTTATTAAACATAAGTAACTCTTCACATGCATAACAAATTCAATAAACAAATGATAAAAAAAACACTTAAAACAATGACTAACTATTATTATAATAAATTGTATTATTATAGTTCATAATATAATATTATTATATACATATATAATATTATATATTATTATTTAAAATTAATAGGCATTTTCATTATATTATTATTAATAGTAATGACCCGAATAATGCAAATAATAATAATAATACCAATAATAATAATAACATCAAACGGTTGGCCAAACTGAGGAATGTTGTGACCGGTCAGATCACTAGCGATACACTGCATAATACAGCCAAACAAGTAATTAAATTTTTTAGTATTAGTTTTTACTAATTTAATATACAATACAATAAAGCGCTTAATAATAATAATATACAGTTTTAATTATTTTTGCAAAATATTCATTCAATAAATTCTATAAAAATATTTATTATAATAGAGAAAATGTTTTAAACTTTATGTATAGAATAAAAGTTTTTTTTGTAGACATTATAGATATGTTTAATAAATAATAATAAAATGAAACATTTTATGTAAAATAGTTTATCATCAATGAAATTGATAGGAAAGTTTAGTTATAATATAAATAATATTAATGTCTGTGTCTATTATGAAAATGTTTTTTTTAATGAATTATGTAAACAATTAAAAACTAATTATTTTGATGTATTTTTCTCTATACATTTTAATATTATACAATATTTGCAATTCAAGCATAAATGTGGGCTGTTTTATGTTATTTATATTGCACATTATAAATGTTAGATACTGTATTAAATAACAGTTATGATTGTAGTTTAATTATAATTAAAGTTTGTTAAATAACTGTTTTAGAATTAATCATAAAAGTTTATATTTGTTTTTTAAAATTAAAATGTATCCAAAATAGTAGAAATTAATTTTACTAATTTCCAGGTGGTCAAATTTTTATTTATTTTTATGCTCACAAAATTTATTAATGTTTTAAGTTTATAATCATAACATTATAATAATGTATTATTTGAAATAAATATTCTTAATTGAAATAAAATTCAAATTTATACTATAGAATAAATCAAATGAAATTTTAAAAGTTTTTTTTTATGCTATTTTCTAATAAAAAAACAATTAATACATTAACAATATGTTTTACAAAACAAGTTTTAAATAAAACAAAAAATATATAATGAATTTTAAAAATACATAAATAAATCAATTTTAAGTATAAATAATTCAAATAATTTATACTAAACTATTTGTCATTGAAATTGTTAGACACTTGGCTGTAATAGATCGGTATGTGCCGGTTCAATCATGAGCTACAAGAGCACACTATACCAGAGCCAGCCAAGGCATACCCGAACCATCGATGAAGTGATAGATGAATCCAAACATTTTATTGAACAATACTATGCATCCATCAAACGTGTCAACACTGCGGCCCACGAGTTAAGGTGCCGGGAGATTGTCAAAGAGGTTAACGAAAAGGGCACCTATACGTTAAAAGAGACGGAACTCATATTTGGCGCCAAACTAGCCTGGCGTAATGCACCCAGGTGCATCGGCAGAATACAGTGGTCCAAATTACAGGTTTTTAGTTAAATTTAAATTATTTTATAAAACTATTATGAAATTGAAAATTAATTAATTAATTATTTTTTTGGATAAAAAATAAATAAATTTAATCTAAGATATGGATTTTAAATTTATACAGTAATTTAACCATAAATATAAATTATATTAATATATTGTATACCTATATATATATATATATTATATTTATCATATAATAGACAAATTATACGATATTGACAATTTACTATGCATTCAATCTTATTCAAACAATATATTTTCACTCCATCTTATTTTAATTTTCTATTTATAAAAAAATTATTTTGATTGAATTGTTTTATTTTTGTATATTTGTGTGTGTGTGTGTGTGTGTGTGTGTGTGAGAAAATAGTATTTTCAAATATATATATCATCTTAGCCTGATTATTTTATTTTTTATCATTTGCAAATATTTGCATAATTTACAGCTTTGATTATAGTAAAATGGGTGATAAAAATTCACACCGAAAACTTTATTTTTATTAACACTTTTATTATTATTATTATTATATATTATTTAGTTTTTTTTATCAATTTACTTGCGTTTTGTTTTCAATATAACTTATTTGTGTACTGAATATTGATTAGACGGATAGATAGATTTTACTTTCCAAGTATTATGCATAGATTTATTTGTAAATTATTTATTCAATATTACTTTTATATTAAATAAAAAGCTTGAAAATCTATGGATAGATAGTTGAAACTAAGTACGTATTGAGCCAATAATATTTTAAATATATATATATATATATATATTTAATTAATTGGTAAAATAATAAATTAAAAAATAAAATATTTATACTAACTAATTATAAAACATAAAAATAGTATTTAGTGTAGTATTTAAAAAATCTCATATAAGTAATTTAATACATATTTGGTATATAATAACTAATTAGTCACAAAAAAATGTAATAAAGTTGTGATTGCATAATAATAATTAACATTATTTTTACAATACATATTTTTTGAAATATTATATAATTTTTTGTGAGTGTTTTATTTATTTAAGTTTCAAGAGTACTGGTTTAGTAGTATAATATAAAGTGTTCCTTAATTATTGTTAACATAGGATTTTGTTTTATTTATATATTATTTTATCTATTGATTTGGATTTAATGAATATATGCTTTTTTAAATTAGAAATTACATGAAACATAAATTGACACAATCATTGACTTTACTGTATTTAGTAGTCTATATAGTAGTATATCTATATAATGTAATAATAGTTTGTCTGTTATTTTCATACCGCCTTTTGGGAGTTAATGTACAAATAAATTATTTTCTTATTCACTGTCCGTTTTAGTTGTAAATATACCAGAGTGTGATAGTAAAGCACTGGGAGCTTTAAAGTTAGGCACCTAAACACACACACAAAGTTTAAACAGTTTGCACTGACATTAAAATAGCTATTTTATAGATTAAATGAAATCCAAAAGATTTTTGTTCAAATTCAACATACATTTGTCATTATAATGAATTAGTAGATTCAATGACTGAGTGGGTGAGAGAAAGAGAGAGAGAGAGAGAGAGAGAGAGAGAGACGGCTATAACTTTTTGGAAATTAAAACAAACTTTTAGTTGTCTTTATAAAAAAGTTTTGCATTGTTTTACGAATTGCATTGCATTGTAAATGTATTAAACAATATAATTAAATAAATAAAATAAATAAAAACAGTTTGTTATCCAATTATACCAAACAAAATGCTAACAGTTATTTGCTATTTGTTTGAGTTGTAAATACAGTATTTAAATATAATATATTATTATATTTATAAAAAAATAAATTATTTATAAAATATCAAAAAATTATTATTTTTAATAGTAAATATTTTATATTCATAATATTTGAGGTTTAATTTTGATACACAAAAAACACTATTAAATAATACAATTATAATTTTATATAAAAATAAAACTTTTTTTTTCAGATTTTTCATATATAAATTATTACATATGTTGTATTTATATCTAAATTATAATGTATTATATATGTATGTATATCTGTCATTTATTTTTTGAGCACCTGTATTGTGGTATTACTTTGTGTCCAGGTGCGATAATTAAAATATTCAACAAATACTGTATTAACACTTGACACCAGTATGACTGACCATAGAATCAGTGTAACGGACAGTACGACCGATGCGTGCGATAGATTGTCCGGCTGTTGGATCAGTAGATAGTGAAATAGGCTCAGAAAGGCTATATAGTAGAGGAACAGATAGATCATTGTGACGGCCAAAACCTCTTGCCAGTGATTTGACTCCTGTTTTACATACGATAGATAGGATTTGGACCGTCGGGTGATAACAATGTTTCGATAGTCCGATTCGCAAACAGTACACCTTAGACGACCCGACCATTTAATCCATTGTTTTAAGCACTTAAAATGTACGTACGCTTGACTGCCTCGACATGAGCACCGGGTAATCAAATTGTTGATCTGGTCGTCCTCCAGACATATGCAACACATTAGATCATTGTTCATGTTTTTTGTTTGTTTGTTAGTCTATATAATAGACTTAAAATTGGTTTTATTATAAGATAATAAATATTATTTTAATTTATGATATTGTTTGAAATATTTAATTGCAAGTGTGATATTTCACGTGCTAACTAATTATTATAGATTTTGTGTACAAACTAGACGGTATTTTTTGCACATTTTATTTTTACATTTTTTAAACATAAAACTATAAATTAAAAATGACACTATCAATTTAGTAGGCATTCAAAAGTCGTATATAGTAATTAAACTGATAAATAAATAAATATATTTAATAGTATTCGGATCAAAACTTTAATCAAAAAAAATATTTAGAAAATTATAATATTTTAGTTTTTACTGTATAACAGTTTAATTGATAAAGTACTGCACTTTTGAATGTCTACTAAAGTTATAGTATTATACAAAAGTGACTTTTTAATACATAGTTTTATGTTGAAATATGCAAAAAATACCGTTTAGTTTACTGTAAATCTATAATAATTAGTTAGCACGTGAAATATCACACGTGCATTCAAATATTTCAAACAAAATAACAAATTAAAAAAAATAATTATCTTATAATAAAACAAATTTTGAGTCTAATATACTGTGTTATATATTATATAAATAAGTTAAAATATTATTCATAGAGTTATAATAAGTAAATATGAATTTATAGTACTGTATATAAAAACAGTTAATTTTATAATTTATTTTTAAAAACATGTATAATTAATAAGATAATACTTATGAAACATCAGTTATAAAATTAACAATAAATACTGTATATAATATAGGTATACAGTACTGTATATATATATATATATATCAGGGTTAAGTAAGGGGGGTRGGGGGTAAGGCCAAAATACCCCCCCTAAGATCGAGAAATTGGGATTTTACCCCCCAGACTTTTTGACCAAATTGAAAAAATTGTCGCTTAAAAATGAGGAGAAATGACCCCCCCTAAAATTTCGGCGCCGWMGGCGCCGAAAATTTTTTTGAAATTTATAAAAATTTTAATTTTAGTTGATACTATTTTAGTAATTGTTTTTATGTTTTTAATATTTATAAAAATCTAATTATTGATTAAAAATAGTTAAAATAACGTTAAAAGTCATCAAAAAATAATATTATTTTAATTAAAATAAACTAAAAAA